GCTGTGTCACCCAGGCTGGAGTGCAGTGGCGCGATCTCGGCTCACTGCAAGCTCCGCCTCCTGGGTTCATCCGATTCTTCTGCTTCAGCCTCCCGAGTAGCTGGGACTACAGGCGCCCACCACCTCGCCCTGCTTTTTTTTTTTTATTTTTAGTAGAGACGGGGTTTCACCATGTTAGCTAGGATGGTCTCGATCTCCTGACCTCGTGATCCACCCGCCTCGGCCTCCCAAAGTGCTGGGATTACGCTTGAGCCACCGCGCCCGGCCCTGCTGATTCTCATTCATATTGTGTATGCAATTATTTTTCATTGTTGGATGAATACTTTATTTGAAAATTTTATTTGTAGAAATAATTTGAAGTCTAGCTGATACTATCTTCTGCCAGAAAGAATTTTCATTTGGTTTTACCAGGTATCTGGAGGCAACAGAACTCCTTATTCCAAGTTCAAAAGTTGAGGCTTTCCTTGACCAGCCAGAAAATATGTCAGGCCGCAGACCTTGTAAGATGTGGTTTTTGGCCAGTTCACCCTCACTACCAGGGTGCAGCCTAAATGCTGGCCTAAAGTAGGGGGTGGTTTGCCAGGTTCCAAACCTCTATAAGCCCTGAATTGATATAATGGATGGATGGAGAGAGAGAGAGAGAGAGAGAGAGAGAGAGAGAGAGACAGACAGACAGACAGACAGATAGATAATGGGAATCCTCAGTGGCCTGGACTGAGATACTCCTCTAGAGAAGATCTGTTTGCTTCTGCCAGCCACAGGGATACACTGCCCATCCACAATGTCATTGTTCATTTTTCAGATAGAGTTTTCTCAGACTATGCGAGTAGAGTACAATCAAACCCTAAGCCTGCATGAAGGCAGACCTGTGGTTATGAATTCTTAGGGAATACTTTTTTCTGCCACTTGATACTAAGGCCAAGACAGGCAAGACTAACCTGGTTCTTCTCTTTGCTGGTGGAAAGACTGTATTTTATTCTTTAGATTTAAGTGTACCAGGATTATGCATGGATCTCTGCCAACTTTCCCCCCAACTTGCCCATTACCATTTCACATGAGCTTTACTTCCATTTTGCTGCACTGCTATTACAGCCTGATGCTCAACACAAGTCCTTAAGATGGCCATGGAGTTAGCTTATGCTTATCACACTATTATCAGTTCTTATGCCCTACCTCACCACCTGTCTCTAACCTGGAGATTTCTCTTACTTGTGTCTCAATTTTGATTGGGTAGGGTGGGGGATTTTACTAGATTTTTTTCAATCAGAAGAGTTTTTAAAAATACAGTCGTCCCCACTTACCCATAGTGGATGACTGAAACTGCAAATAGTACCAAACGCTATATATATATATAGTAATGTACAACATAACAATGTTTTGATCAGTGATGATCACAAATACAATGGTGTTTTTGTTTTGTTTTCTTTTGTTTTGTTTTTTGAGATGGAGTTTTGCTCCTGTTGCCCAGGCTGGAGTGCAATGGCGCGATCTCGGCTCACTGCAACCTCCACCTCCCGGGTTCAAGTGATTCTCCTGCCTCAGCCTCCCAAATAGCTGGGTTTACAGGCACCTGCCACCATGCCCAGCTAATTCTGTATGTTCAGTAGAGATGGGGTTTCACTATTTGGCCAGGCTGGTCTCGAACTCCTGACCTCAGGCGATCCACCCGCGTTGGCCTCCCAAAGTGCTAGGATTACAGGCATGAGCCACCGCGCCTGGCCAATGTTGTTGTTTTTTTTCTTCCTGTACCTCTTCTATGTTTAGGTACACAAATACCATTGCATTGCAGTTGCCTACAGTATTCTGTACAGTATCATGCTGTACAGGTTTCTAGCCTAGAAGCAGTAGGTTACACCATATAGCCTAAGTGTGTAGTAGGCTTGTGTTAGTCTGTTTTCACACTGCTATAAAGAAATACCCATACTGGGTAATTTATAAAGAAAAGAGGTTTAATCAACTTAAACATATCCTAATTGTTAAGTGATGTATGGCTGGACTATGGTTTTTGGTCTATATAGTACATACTACACTATGATATAATTTAATTTATAAATTAGGCACAGTAAGAGACTAACAATAATCATCGAAGTAGAACAGTTATAACAATATACTGTACAAAAGTTCATGTGAGGCCCCAGGCAACGGTGGTTCACACCTGTAAAATCCCAGCACTATTGGGAGGCCGAGGCTGAACACATGACCAACGGTTCAGGAGTTCGAGACCCAGCCTGGCCAACATGGTGCGAAACCGGTGTCGTCTACTAAAGATTTAAAAATTAG